ACCCCCATGAACTCCTGATGGCCATATATTGGTCACACTGTAGTTAAGCAGTTATAAAACATAAAAGATTTATGTTCTTTTTTTTATTTTTTTATTATGCATATTTTTGTATATATTTACACAAAATGTAAACATGATGTAAAATTCACATTAAAGAAGATCTGCATATTTATTTATATATTTATTCATTAAGCAGAAGATTACTGCTACCTAGTTGAAAACAAACACTTATAAAATGAACATGACATGGCATTACCACTATGACCAGTAGATGGCTGCAGAGGATCACTGATTCATGTATTCACTTGCCGTTTCCACTCCCTTATGTAGTTAATCAAAGGGTGAGCGATTTATGTAGTTACTTGATAATAATATTTTGAGCTCATTTAAAATTCTAAACAACAACAACAAAAAACCTTCTTTGTTTATATTTTGATTATTTATATACTTTTATTAAAGAAATGTGTAAAATGTTGCTCATCAGAATCATGGGTTCGATCGAAAAATGTAGGCCTGTATGTTAAATGCAGTGCAGTTTTCTCTAGATAAAAGTAGCCTATGTAAACGTAAGAGCCCTTGAGCAGATCAGATAAGACCAAATGAATGAATAAATGAATAGTAGGCTAATAATAATAATAATAACAATGATGATGATAATAACCCAAAAAAAATGAATGTGTTATTTTCTTTCCTTTAAGTAAGTGTGCATTAAACGATTCAAGGGTTATCAGAATTAAAAGTTAAATCTGTCATTGCAGCTTTTTGAAGTGTGAATTTTGTTTGGAAGGATGAAATGATAGTAGGCTACATTTTCGTCAGTTATTTTATCGGTTATTAAATCAGATACATAGAAGCACAGTAAAATTACATTTATTTGAATGCATTTGTGAGAGCGCGATTACGTGTAAATTAGTCCTGCCTGTCTGTGCAACGTCTCTCTACTAATAGTGAAGCTGTGGATTTTGATTACTTCAAAACACAAATAAATTTTCGGTATAACTTTCTGTTTCTAAGCATTTTTATTGACAAATCACAGGGCAGCGTTGACAATATTTTTTGTTTCTGTGTGTGAGTGATCCGTTATGTGTCTGTACATGTGTGCGTGCAGTACAATCCTTGTAGGCAGAACTAGTTTAGAACGGCTATAGTTATGGCATTAATTGTGCTAGTGATTGAGCGGTAGTGGAGCACTCTGAGAGCGAGCGAACACCAGAATTCTCCGACTTTCAAAAGATCCCCGCTTCAGTTAAAATCACGCTGCTCCGCTCTCAATGCACTTCGATCCCATATGCTGCTTTGGGGTGGGAACTGGGGTGGCAAAGCTCATTTTAAGGGTGGCACGGGGTGGCAACTGCCACCCTTAAAATGAGCTTTGCCACCCCAGTTGCCACCCCAAAGCAGCATATGGGATCGAAGTGCATTGAGAGTGGAGCAGCGTGATTTCAACTGAAGCGGGGATCTTTTGAAAGTTGGAGAATTCTGGTTTTCGCTCGCTCTCAGAGTGCTCCACTACCACTCAATCACTAGCACAATTAATGCCGTAACTATAGCCGTTCTAAACTAGTTCTGCCTACAAGGATTATACTGCACGCACACATGTACAGACACATAACGGATCACTCACACACATAACACTGTTCTAGTGGTTTTTGGATATTATAATAAAAAAAATCTTACATATTGTGCCTTTAAGACAGGGTTTTATTTAGTTTTATGTAGTTAACAGATTACACTATTAGTCTACTTTGCCCATCACCCATTATAGATCAAATAATCTATAAAGGTGCAAAACGCATTTACTTACACATTTGAGAAGATATTTCCTGATTAGAAATATTTCGAATGAAAAGAAAAAAATAATAAAACATAAGCCTATATCAGTTATACAGTCATATCGTGGCTGCTGTATGTCACATGACAAGCATTACGAGCTCAATTCCTTCAAACACAGAGAACATCAAGAGAGATTAACTTTTGAGCCACTGCACTGTGGTATCGTTTAAAGAAAGGGAAGTGTTGGGTTTTGTGAGTTTGTTTTATGAAGTTTACCTGAGGGGAAAACATATATCTAAACAGCTTAAGAATTCACCCTCTATTGAGAAGTGCATGCCTTTAAATTAATTAACTCAAGCTGAACCTAAATGCTAAATATGTGTGTGTGGGTCAGGTTCTGTTTTCCACCCACCCGTGCCCCCTCAAAAATCATGAGTGCATGACGCCCCTGCTTACAGCACATTTGAGTAATGAGATTGCATTTGAATATGTTTTTAATTGCACATTTTAACAGTATTAAGTGAAAAAGTAAGCTACAATAGGAAGCGTTGTGTCTGTCTTAAAACCTAGTGAACTGGCAGCTGAGAAGTGTCGCGCATTTTCGCTCTGATAAAGCCCAAAATGCTGTTCTCGGCTCCGATTCTACTGAATCTCCAGCGTCACAACGGCAAAACAAATGACATTTGTGTAGTTTACAGTCTGAATCAAATAAGATGGAATAAAAAAGACAGTGTAACAAGAAATAATGCCAAAACTACAAGTTTTTCTTTTGAGCTGACCTCGCAAGCTGCACGCAAAAACATGCAGCGCGAAAAATGAAGTCCGATTCACAAGCAAATGACTCTTGTGTGTCGATTCAATTAATGAATCGTTTAAAATACAATCGTATGATTTCGGTTTAAATCAGTCTGACAAAACGAATACTGAACAAAAAGTTTTTCTTTCAAGTCATATCCGACTCGAATTTAACAACTTAAATTTGTTTTTTTGTTTACTTAAGGTGCATGAAACTTTGTCATATCGTTGTTCATATGGCAAGGTGTTGCTAAGGATACACATTTGTAAAGACCCTTACCAAAAAGTAGTATACTTCAAGTTTATTTTATTAAGTATACTTAAGTAAAGTTCAAGTATATTTTTAAGTATACTTTACGTAGTAAGTATACAAATATCAGTGTACTAGTAGTATACTTGTAAGTGTACTATTTCAATACTCCTTGGGACTAAATTGGCCCACTTTCTAGTATATAAAAGTATACTTTTAAGTATACTTTAAGTATAACAGTAGTAAACTTTGAGAACACAACTAGTTTACATCAAAATGTTTAGTTTGTACTGCAACTATACTAAAAGTGAACTTATAGGTATACTGATCGTTTACTAATTAAATACTTTTTTAGCATTTTAGCACACTTTGATTAAATATCGCATGCGATTAATCGTGCAGCCCTAGTTTTGATGCTGTTTTATGTCTGATGATCCTGTCAGATTACATGTGGAAGCATCTGTGGTTTCGGTTTCTTCTTCACTTGTGTTTTTTGGAAATTCTGTACAGAAGATGTGTACTAGCACCCCCTACCGTATAACAATGAAAACACGGATTCTAGGAGCACAATTATAGCTAAAATATATTTAGACTTTTTCTAAGTATAAGGCAAGTATACTTAAATGTCATTTTAAGTATATTTCTGAGAAGTACATAAAGCCCATTTCTGAGAAGTACATAAAAAGTAGACAAAGTATACTTTCCTATTTTAAGTTTAAAAGAAGTATACTAATAGCACACTTGAATAAACTTCTTTTTCGCAAGGGGATACCTTCGTTTCAATCATAAGAATACAATATGTTATACGTAGGTAGGACTATTTATGCGAGTCTGTACCTATATGAATGCAAAATCAGAATTCAGAAGGAAACACTGTGCTGTCTATGTAGGCAGCTCGCTGGGATTTTGAAACACAACACATGAACGCTGAGGACTACGAGGAAATGACCTTTGAGATCAGTTCACTGTCCGAAGCTAAACAGAATCTCTCTTTTCATTCGATTTCTTGATTGCTTAGAACAGTATCGTAATTCTAAGTTATTTAATGGAAAACGCACGATAAAGTATTTGAGAAACAGGAAATGCAGGAAATGACTGACTGTTCACAGCCATCTTTGTGTCTGTGTATTATTTTAATTAATAGTGTAATGTCACTTGGAAAGAAGCAAACTATCAATTCAAACTACTGTCTTTTATCAACCACATCACCATCGAGTTTATATTAGCCTATACGTTTATAGTCTGAACACAGAAAACACACATCTGCTGACAACACTATATGTAACACAGTTTATTGATAAGCATAAGACAGGAGTAGCCTACTCACGTTTTGAATTCTCTCTCCATTCGGGTTTTTGCTGTGATCTATGTGATCCAACATCAGGTACAAGGAAAATACCACAACACAGAATATGGCAATGCCAAAAACGGTGAACTGTCTGCTGAGCTTCATTTCTCAGATGAGTCCTGTACATTCACATGAAAGGCAAACTTTTAAAGGCTTGTGTCTCGCGAGCGGTGGTCCCGTAGGTGACAGAAGGCAGAAGTGAAAAAGAAAGGTCTTTTCGCCATGAAGAGTTGCGCGGAAGGGGACACCTTCTCTGTCTGACGGCGGGGAAATGTCGCGTTGTGTATCCACGGACCGAAATCCACTGCGATCTGTCTTCAAAGTTTTGACGATGCGGAAGAGTTTGTGTGATTCAGCAAATTGCGATGGTGAAACAGGCAAAGGAAAAGCGCCAGCCCTGCCTCCTTCCTGCGCTTACTGTGCTGCTACAGACAGAGGAAAAGCGAGCGTAGAGTTGCGCCGCCTAACGAGTGAATAGCCTGCATCACACACACACACACACACACACACACACACACACACACACACACTCAAGTGAACATATAT